TCTAAACGCAAATGTATTTTTCTACAGAGATAATCTAGGAGTCCTGCCCCATCATTTAACAGCACCATAGTTATGGGGGATCCAGGGTCTATCGGTACCTTCCCAGCCTCCGTTGCCTCACGTGCAGGAAATGTTTTGACTAACCATTAAAATCTTCGAGGATGCTTTAAAAAAATGTCATGCATTTGTTCTACCCTAGACAAATTAAATTTCTTGTGTTGAAACTCAGGCATTGGTATTTTAAAATACTTTCCATGTGATTCCAACGTGCAGTCAGGGCTGAGAATCATTGTGATAAAGAAATTCATACATGACCTATTTTTCTTTCAGCCTTAAGCCCCGCCCCTCTCCCTGCCCAAAGTCAACCTGAAAAAAGCTTCAATAACATTTAATATGTCAGTTATTGGGTATAACTAGATTTCCCTGTTAAATTTCATTTTTGCACTGATTTATCTTGTCAAGACTTCAGAAAATCTATCTCTAGAATTAGAGAAAAGCCTAATCTAATGAGAAATTATACAGCTGGTAACAGTTTGCGTACAAACTTGGGATTGTGGTCCAGAAGAGGTGAAGCGATGGTGACAATCGAAATACACTCCTCTTAAAGCCAGGCCTGTGATGGCAACTTCCCTTACTGGATTTTCTGTGATGCTCACCTGCAGGGAGCTTAAAATACAGCCTGGATTCTGTGGATGAGTCACAAAGTGAGATTGCAAGCAGCACCATGGTATTTTTTTAGAAAGTGACTTTAAATGGCTGCCAGGAGATGAATATGAATCTCTCTGTGGTGAGAGCCTTACCAGTCTCCTTTATCATTCTTATCATTTCAGTAGGAGAATAACCAGAAAGCAGTCAGCCAGCACTGGACTTCCCGGTGTTTTACTCTTCCCCCAGGCAGCCCATGAACTATACCCACTCTCGGTTCTCCCACTAGTGTGCTCATCTGATCCAAATGGTGTACGAATTGGGGTAAAATTAATTGTGCTGAAAACTCAGGTGTGCATTAGGATGTCTTGCATTTATGCTCCTCCAATTATTTAAAATACTTTATCTTATTATTCTTTAAAAATGCTCTATCTTATGATCTAATTAATTAGAATGCATATTTGGCTTTTTCTGCTTGGTCCTGAGTTGGAAGCAGGGGCAGAAAATAAGGAAACTGACAGTCATTGACCAATTCTGACAATGCAGGGCAGGTTGCCTCAGAGGCTCTGGATCAGAGTTCTATTGTCATATTTGGCCTGGTCATTGTCCATTTGTATATTCAACCTCTCACAAGACAAACTAAATAATCGTATGTCAGAAGTAGTTTAACAATATGGATGGAACTAGAGAACATTATGCTAAGTGAAATAAGTCAGTCAGAGAAAGACAAATACCATATNAAACACCAGCCTCTTTTTGAAAGACACTAAGTTAAACAAAACAAAGACAAATCTATTTCTTTCAAATCTATTTCTTATGCAGGAATTTTCAGAGACTTTTATATGCTCAAGTGAGTTACACATCTCCAAGGAGTGAATATAGGATGTAATAGATCTTTCTTCTTCTTCTTTTTTATTCCCCAGCAAATGTCTCATAAGATAGAACACATGTGGGAAGTGCTGGGATTTTTTTTTTTAAAGTAACATTTGAATTGTCTCAAAAGTTATCTGTCCATTCACTGACCCACCCATTCATTCATCCATCTATCCATTCATCCATCCCACACTGATTTCCCAAAGACAAAATACATGGCATCCCTGGCCTGATGGGACACACAGTCTACTGGGGGAGCCAGATATATAAATAATTAATTATAGTACAGTGTGATACGTAATATAACAGATGGGTGATACTTTTATGAGAGCGATATAGAAAAATATTCAGACAACTCACTAGGAACTTACACATTCACTATATTCAGGGCTAATTTCAAAGGATGGAAAATGGCAAAGATTTATGTAACAAACTATGGTGAGGTATAACACATTTTAATAAATTAAAACAACATCAGTAATTTCCTGTATGTACATATTTCAAAATACTTTTTTGTAGTCTTAAACTCAACTTCTATAGTAAAGATTTTACACTCATACAGAATCTTACTTATAGTAAAAAGGGAAGTGGCCCAAGAAGCCTACTTACATACTTACACACAAGAAAAAAGAAATTAAAAAAGAAATCATTCTAAGATTGGAGATATCTTTACTGACAATAGTAATACTGGGAAGTCCTTACCTTTCTTACAGAAAATTTGTCTGTTCTTTCCTCACTCATGAGATTTTCAGAAGACCTATAATAACTTGAAAGTCACTCAACAGGAAATAAATATACATTTCTAGGATTTTAATATAGTTCTTTGGCAATTTGTTTTAGCTAACTGTTTTGTGTTAGATTTAGTACCAAACCATTACATTGTTCCAAAAAATACATGGCAAATATAAAATTAGTTTAGTATTCTCCTAACTTACCCTTTTACAGATAACACAACGAAATTTGATTGTTCATAAAACTTCTTTTCCATTAGCAATTTTGATGCTTATAAACTTTTAGCATCCTCACTCATTACATTTTCTTTGACACACTCTATGATATCATACAGTTATTAGACGATCATCATACATAATGACTCCCTGTTGGAAGAGCTTTAGTAACTTGATTGCTTACCTGGACCTGTTTCGCATGTAGTGGGAAACTGTTCAAGGCATGGACTTGAGTGATTTAGGTAAATCTGAGTTTCTTGGACCCACCAGTAAGGCCGATGACCAAATAATATCCTGTATTTAAATAAATATAAATATGCATATATTTAAATACACAGCTATTTCTTAATTGGAGACTAGTTACTTTCACCTATAAAAATGATTCAAGCAGGGGTTTGATGGAGAGAGCTCATGATTAAGAAACTTTGAAAGAACTTGGGTTCTGGTCTGTCTCTCATTATAGAGGATGACACAGTCATTTGGGGTTTGGGCATCCTAGCTCTCAGTAAAAACAGGGACTTTTTTCCTTGTAGGGGAAGTCCTGTGGATGCCTTGGTACTTAGACTGGGAATATCAAAGTGGTCCCTGGAATCATCAGCCTTTTCATTATGGTGCTGCTCATTTAACTAACTTCTTGTCTAATCACAGCATATGTGTTAACAGGGTTTTGGAACGTACTTGTACATTAGTATACATTTGTATATAAATGTACATTTGTATGTAAGCATACATTTCTATGGTTTTTGTAAGTTCTATTTATGAATTGGTGTTTCAAGTGAACTCGTATGTTTGAAAGATTTTCCAAGTAAAACTACCTGCATCTAAAATGTGATTATTAAGCCAAAGCTACAAATTTAAGAATAAGCTTTAGGAAAAATGAAACAAAACAGAAGTCTTACCATTTAAAAATAAGATTGAACCAATCCCCAACGACTGCTACCCATATCATCTTGGTTCCAACTGTCTGATTAAGTTGAAACCAAAGTGGAAAATAAATAGAAAAGATATTCCGGGGGTCTCCAACATTAGACATAAAATTTAGAAAATTGTAGTAAGCTCGGTAGTCCTTCTGCAAATGCTGAATAATGAGCACTCCATTCCTATGCAGGAAATCCATCTTGGAAGAGAGGCAATTCTAAACATCGAGCAATTGGAGCTGAAATGCTCTCAGCCCCACCATTTTTATACGGTATTCTCGTGGCGTGTCCTGTCATTACCGCAACATGTGATGCTGACCATCTGTGGAGAGAGCGCATCGGCCCTCCTCTGCTGAAAAGCTCTTCTATTTCTGATTTTAATTGGAGCCAAAGAGGTGAAGTGCATGCTGATCTGTGGCAAGTCAAGAGGAAATTTGGGGAGACATACAATGAATTTCTTATGCAACCTCCCTTTTGTGTGAACAGTTGGATGTTGTTTGCTTGAAATTTTTTGCACAGTTCATTTCCTTCAAGGGCAGAGACATTAGCAATTTCTATGCTTGGCTAGAAGACTATGCAGATAATTACTTCATGTCAAATAGCCCTTAAAGCCATGCATTTTAATTTAAAGTAGACTGTGGCTCTTTGACTATTTTATTGGATTTTTGAAAAACACAGAAGAGTAAATATCTGGGCATAAAAAAATTATGTGCATGACAGTATATTTTCTGATCACAGACTTTTAAATAGAAGTAGTTTGATATTTCTTTATTAGCAAAGAGAATATGATATGATGTGTATGGAATAGAGAAGAAAATGCAAAGAATACATGAAATCTAGAAGGAAATGTATTGCTTTTTAATTATGAGGCAAGAAAGCAGAGATGGAAGTCACTTGGCTAATAGAACTGTGTTAGGACCGAGTCACATTTTTATTGACTAGAGGGTACAATTGAGAGTAGTGGGGAGTGCTCACATGAGAGAAAGAGGAATAGACTTCAAAGGGCTTTTGACCAATCAGGAAAATGGTTTGCTGAAAACACAGTGTTCAGTAGACCCACATGGGATGCACCACAACAAACATGTAGATTGGGAATGAACAGAAGGGCAGCTCAAAGAGAACTATAGATTCAAGTCACAAGTGAGATGCTGGATTTAGAGAACTAAATTATGTCCATGAAGACTAATGTGAAAGCAGGTAGCCCCACCAGGTGGTGGTGGGTGGAGGTAGGAAACCTTACTTGTTACCTTACTGTTCAGATTGTTGTCTTTGCTAATCACAGCCTCCTTCATGAGGAATCT